TTGTGGTTTTGACCTAATTAGTAACAAATTAATTAAATATTGCTTATCAGGATGCACAAATTTTTTAACGAAAATGATCAACGAATTGATTAGTACTAATTATTTCCCTAAAGATATGAAACTAACAAAGGTAAAACCTGTTTATAAAAAAGAAATAAAATTGTTTTGGATAATTACAGACCGATTAGTGTACTACCAGCATTATCATAATTATTTGAAAAAGCTGTACTACATCAAATTGAGATGAATCTTGAGGATAACGGAATCATTCCAATAAATTAATTTGGCTTCAAAAAGGTATGCAGTTCAATCCATGCAAACATGAAACTTAATATAATAACGTGTTATAGAAACCAAAAAAAAGTTGTTGCAATCATATCAATTGATGTAAAAAAAGCTTTTGACAGTTGCGTGCATGCCATTATTTATAATAAACTCAAAAACATAGATGCAGGTGAAACAACTTTAAAATGGATTTTTTCATATTTAGCTGACAGGAGGCAGGTAGCTGTTATTGGAAATTACACATCTAAAGAAAGACTTGTAAAGTTAGGAGTTGGTCAAGGAACATGTATGGGTCCTTTGCTTTTTAAAATTTATATTTATGATCTCCCGGGTGCAACAGAGCTTGACACCTATTTTTTTTGCTGATGATACAACAATGGTTGCAAAGGCTGACTCTATTGAAGAGTTACAAGAGTTATGTTGCAAAGAATTGGAGAAAGTCAGTAATTGATTTGTAGCAAATGGATTTACACTTCAACCTGAAAATACAAAAATAATGATTTTTGGAGCAAAAAAAAAGTAGAAGTAAAGTTGCAAGGCCTCAAGGTTAACCTATGTGGTGAAAATTATAAAAATAAAAGCGTTAGCATTTTGGGTATCCTGAGGGACGACAAATTGAAGTGGCATCATCATTTAATTCATGTTTCAAAAAAAAAATAGACAAAGTCATTTACCTGTTAAAAAGATTTAATAAACTGTTGCCATGCAAATCTAAAGTTCTTTTGTATGATGCGTTTATTAGAAGCCATTTGATTTACGGTATTGAAATCTGGGGGAACAGTGACTGAAAAATGTTACGAAACTTATTTGTCAACAAAAGAGAGCTTTACGAATTATTGGCCCCAATAAGATTCACACAAGACCTATTCTAAAAGTATGGAAGTTGCTTTCGTTTAATCAAGAATATCAAATGGATATAATAGTTCAAGCATGGAAGTTATATATACATACATTCATTCATACATACATACATACATACATACATACATACATACATACATACATACATACATACATACATTCATACATACATACATACATACATACATACATACATACATACATACATACATACATACATACATACATACATACATACATGCATACATACATACATACATACATAAACATACATACATACATACATACATACATACATACATACATACATACATACATACATACATACATACATACATATATATATTAGGGATATGACTTTTTAAACTTTTTATACAACTTGGACAACCCCATATTATTTTTGGATGAGTTTTTGCGATAAAACAATGAAGAAATGTTTATTTTCCTTCAAGTGTAAAAAAATGTCACGCCCCTCGACTGAAATGTTTTTTAATACAATATAGATAGGAATATAATATACTATAGATATTACATATGGGTCAGAAAACATAAGTTAAAGAAGTCATAACCCTCTATATATATTTTGTTATATTATATTATTATATTATATAAAATAAAATATATATAGACGGTTAATATATATTATATATATAATTTTAAATACATACCAGACGTATGCATTACCACTTTATAATTTCTAGTTTTTCACTGCCGTGCCTAATTGTTTATTAATTAGTTTCAGATTTTTTTGTGCTGCTTTTAATTAAAATGGCATACAAATACTGCCAATCAAGTGTTAAAAAAAAATAAAGAGACTTATAAAAAAAATCTTGTGAAATTTCAAGATTCGCATAAAAGTAGACAGTTTCCAATGTTAGAAACATCTTTTCAAGAGTATTCCAAAATGCCATTAAAAAGTGATGTTGTTAGCAGGTTTAAGTATTTATCTAGTACTGATGTGAAAGCCAAAAAGCAAAGGATAGATCTTATTTCAGAAGAAGTTATAAGTTTGTGGAAAGAACAATTAAATTTCCCATGTCTGACAGAGCAGTCAGTGAAGCGAAAGATTAATGATGTTATAGAAAAGTATGAAAGTCTCAGAAAAAAAGGGAATGCCGACCTTCTGCAAAAAGAGATTTTCGATATAACAAATCAAAATGGCGTATGGTTATCATCTGAAGATAAATAATTTTATGAAATTCAGTTACAAAGCAAAGGAGAAACTGGATATGCAACTTCAAAGCTGGCAGGAACGAAGACTATTCATCCATCAACTGTGCAAAAACTTTCCAGCCAACCTTCAGCATCTAAAAGTTTTTCTTCATTTACTGAAAATAGTAAAATAGAAAGAAACAACTCTAGTTCCGAATTTGAAGAAACTGATAAACAATTTGAGATAGATAATGAAATTACAGATGAAGAATATAATAATTTGAAGAAAAGACGTAAAAAATATAGTAGTTGTAAAATAGCAACAAAGTTAGTGGTTTGTGCTAAGGTATCAACTAAGAAAGCTTCTAAAATAGGTAAAATACTGTCCTCAGAAGGCATACATGTTCCAGCGTCATCACAGTCTGGAATATACAAGGCTCTTTTTAAAGAAGCAAAACAATTTAAAGAAACTTTAATTTAAGATTTAAAGAATGAGAATTGGAGTCTACACTTCGATGGAAAGCATATAGACCAATGGGAGTATCAGGTTGTCGTTCTTAAAAATGAAAGAAGCGAAATAAAGTTGGGCGCACTAAAGTTAATAGATGGAAAATCTATCACTATTATTAATGCCATAGCTGATAATATAGATGAATTTAAACTATGGAATTCAATTAAAATGATTGTGACAGATACTACAAATGTCAATACCGGAAAGAAAAATGGTGTTGTTGTAAAACTTCATTTTTCAAAAAAAAAGGATTACAAAAACCTCAATTTGTACCATGTCAACATCATATCTTGGATAGAATACTTAGACTAGAAATGGAAGAAAAATTGGGAGAAAATCCGAACTCACCAAACATTAATTACTTTTTTACTAACGAGTTGTTAGAACATTATGAAACACTGAAGACAAATTTTTATAATGGTACAGAAGAAATAAAAGACACAGGAGGATGGCGAGATGACATGAAGTTTCTGTTTCATCTGACAAGAACCTACCGATACTATGACCAAAATAAAATATTTCCTCATGTAAGATTTCAAAAAATCCCTAATATCAGTAATGCTCGGTGGAGTTCAAGAGTTATTTTAGCGTTGTTAGCCTACATTCTTATGCCAAAAACAAGAAACAAACTTGAATCCGATGTACCTTTATTTCTTACAAGTGGGCAGACTTTTGGTTTGACGACCAAACCTATAAAGAAAACACTTATTCAGACCTTCATAAAGTTTTATTAAACAAAAAGAAACCTCTTGCTACATTTACAAGTCATTGGAATCCAGAACCATCAGCAATCAATATTCCCAGAAGTAATCAATGTGCTGAAAGAGCAATTAAAGTAATGGAGGAGCTTTATAGATTGTGCAGAAATAAAGACAATCTTTCACTTTGTTTCATTTTGTCTAATAAACAATAACTGTATGTATTTAAATTGTATAAAATGTTTTTTCCTGCATTGAATATAACACTATACCATGTATTAATTGTGAGAATAAATTATGTTTTTTTATAGAATCATATGAATGAACATGTTTGCAAATAGAAATGATTTTGGTCATTAATTTTTTTAAAACCTTTTTAAATCTTAATGTGCTTTGGGGCGTGACATTTTTTTTGAACATCGTGAAAGTATTAATATTTTCGCATTTTATGCGTAAAAACTCATCCATTTTTGGGCCAGGGAATTTAAGTGTATATTATGCGCGAGTTTATATTTTATAAAAGCCTAAATAAGTTTTTACAATTAACCTTATAGTGCTTTTGTTCACTTCCTCGTTTGCAGTTTCCTTTTTTTTTATTTTCTAATACATCTTTTAAGCAAAAGATGTTAACTATATATTTTTTTAAATAAATTGCCAAATAGATATAATGTGTATCTGTTTCAAAACATATATTATTGGACTTTTCTTTTTCTTCTTTTTCTTTTTCTAATTTTCAATCATAGCAAAATCAAATACATCAGTTCCTTTTAAAAATTACATTTTTTTGGGTTCAATTTAAAGATGTTAGGTTGATTAAATGGGATATGATATGAGATGTTTTAGAAATTTCAGAGAGGACAAGTGTAAATAGAAATAATAAATAGAGACAAAAATAAAAAAAATTATTGATTAAAAGTTTTAAAAGTTTTTTGGAAACTATGCCCTGAATTCAAGGAATCCAAGAACTGGGAATCTAATATCCCAAGTAACTAATGCAAACCAATTCGTCATTTTTTAAAGAAAATTGGTAAACTAAAAATATCCAAAACATAACTGTTGAACAATCTCTTAAAAACAAAAAAACAATTTTAAGCAACGCAAGTTTGCACAGAATTACAAAAAACACTAGCGCACTAATGCTTTTTGTTTTTTAAACCAAGTCTACTAACATGAGGAGAACAAATACAAACTTGATTTTAGACAAAAAAAATTCTGCCCAAAATTATTCGGCATATTTTAAAAGCAAATCAAGCATTTTTTTTTAGTTATGCAGAATAACAATGCATATTTTATTCCTGTCATTTGCTATGATTAACATTACCTGATGTTTAGCCATGCATATTGTAAAAAGAAAAGCTTTTTAAGTAATTTTTTATATGCATTTAGTTCATTTTTTTAAATCAGTAATTAATTATAAAAACATATAATACATACATACATACATACATAACATATACATACATACATACATACATACATACATACATACATACATACATACATACATACATACATACATACATACATACATACATACATACATACATACATACATACATACATACATACATACATACGTGTATAAAAATAACTCCTTCATTTTTTAGTTTACGAACAAATTGTGAAAAATGAAGATTCAACTTGCCATCGTCATTTTTTTAATAACAGCTGTCTTTGCAAAACATGAGTCGAATAAACGTCATAAAAAGTTAGGTACAAAGTAGTTATTGATTATCTTAAAATTTAATAAATAAAGATAAATAAAGATAACATATAGACTTAATTAAATTAATTAGTTCATTATGCAATTACCAGTGTCTTTATTATTTGCTGCTTTTTTTACGATTACTAAATTAGATGAGTCATTTTATTTATTATCAATTTGATTTAGTAATCAATGGGCAATTATTCATAAATAAGTTATTATAAAAAAGTTATTGTAAAATAAATTTACTTTAAACATTAGTTTAAATTATATTGCATATGTAATAAACGCTAAATCTTATGTTAGTAATCTAATTGGTATCAGAGCATTAATATTATTGGTATCAGTATCAAAACAATGTTGAGTTTATATTTAAGGTATGCGAATTGGCAATATACTATGCTCCGTTTAATTATGGTTCGTAATGCGAGAAATTATTTTATTTCTATTGAAATAAAGTAAAGTTATTATTTAGATATTAATCGTTGTGATTGTTATAGGTTTTAATAGATTAAAGCGGTTAAGTACTATGTGGGTAAATCAAATTTTTATCATATGAACAACAGCTTTGTTGTCAAAAATAAAAAATACTGATAATATTTGTAAAAAACGCATTAAAACCTTTACAAAAATATTAAAATTGCTCTTTAACTAACCTTTCTTGTGATTAAATAGGAAAAGCATTACATGCCTCAAAGAACGTTGAAAAAACAACAGTGAAAGAAACTCCATCGCAAAACAAAACCAAACTCAATTTTGAGGAGAGCTCTGGAGATACTAGCGCACAAAATCCACAAGATGATTACGCAACCCCAGCGCCAATTGGTGAGAATGATTTCGAACCAGGTCCAGTTAATACACCGGTCCCAATGGGTCAACTAGATCAAACAGCATTGCCCACACCCGAAATAGAACAACCTGGTGAGGTGGCAACTACACCAAATCCAGACGCTAATTCTGCAAGTGTGAATCTAGTTCAATTCAACCCTGTATTAACTGAACAACATAGTTCCGGAAACGGGGTAATATGAAGTTAATAGTATAACTATTATCCATTTAATCATTGTTTTATATAAAACTTGCAAAAAAATCCCTTGTTATAAAACAATAAAAAACTATATTATGTTTTTATAGTGTTTCAGCACCTTTAACTATTATTTCAATACGGCTTCAACCGTGGCCGAACGTAACCAACAATATATTGTCTTAAGAGAATGTCTCAAGGGAAAGTGTGACATATCTACGGTAAATATAATTTTTGAAAATTTAATTTTGATTTTAATCTTAAGAAAAAAGCGACATAATTTTACATATAATACTTTAAAATTTAATTGGTGTTTATCATTTAAAAAACTAGTAATATATAATAATATATAAAAAACTTGTACAAACTTTTATAAGTCATGATATAAATGTAAATAATAATTTTAATTTTATAAACAATGCATTTAAGACATTTTTTGTAAGTTGTTATATCCATTTTTTTCTTTTTACGTCGTAATTACCTCAACAAATTTACTAAAAAATAATTTGCTTATCTAATATAAATAGTCATTTGCTCAAATAACTTAATTTCTAATGAAGTTATTTGAGCATTATTTCATTATAAATAATCGTAAATTTAACGTTATTGTTATTTACAGTGCAACGACCAGCAGTCTAAGTGCATGAAAGTAGCTCTAAACAATGAAAACAAAATATACGAATGCAACTTCTACTGGTTTGGATGTGCTAACGAGAATTGTTCTCCTTCCCTATAACTTTTATAAATATATTCTTATTTTATTATATATTATTAGGACTATGTATAATATTATTTTATTATATATCATTAGCATTATGTATAATTTTATCTACTTAACTTTGATTTTTAATTGTTTCTCAATTAAAAAACGAATGTATTCTTAAAAAATTAATTTATAACTAAAAAAAGTTTTTTTTATTATAAATAACTTTAAATATTTTTTCAATGGGAATGAAGTAAATATTACACACTCTAAAGCCAAATAAATTTTTAAAAGGCTGTAAAGGGTTCTTTAGGTGTGGGTTTTTTAAAAAACCTAACGGTTTGGTTTTTAAAAAGAACGACTGAATAAGCACGAATTTTAAAAGCACAAACTGGCATAAATGCAAATGACGTAAGTCCGAATTGAAATGAGTGCGCCAAAAGAATTTGCAAACATTTGCATAAATACGAGTAGTACGAACTGGCATAAGCGCGAAGCAGTTGTAAAAACTGGCACAAATGCGAACTGGCATGAGCGCGCTAAGCAAATGGTTCCCAACAAATGCCGAACAAATGGTTCAACTTGGTTCCTAAGTTATGACAGTTTATGTTGGGCTCAATAACGCCTATTTTGCGACAAGATTTGTTGAGTTTTCCTGAAAGATTTATGGAACCAAATTTTGATAAAAAAATTTATTTTTAAATGCTATTAATGAGAAAGAGTTTCATTGAAGTACTTATGCTAAATTATTTTTATTGCTTTCTTTTTTACTAAAGAATTAAAGCATTCAATTTTAAAAATTATTATTCTCATAATAGGAGTGCTATTCCACTGCTCGTTTGCCTCATTTGGGGCAATTGGATCAAAAGCTATAAAAGCTTTGTTAAAACCGTAAAAATTAACTTTAAACAAAGAAAAAGAGTTTTTTCAAACTGTCATAGTAAACAAATTCATTTACATTTTGTAAATATCAAGAAAATACGTAAAAATCTTAGGGCTAATTTCCCCATTCAGGGCAATCGGGCCAATAATAAAGTTCTGTACAAACATTAAAAATTAATTTTAGTTAAAAAAAAGGGCTTTTTCAAACTGTCAGAATAAACAAATTCATTTATACTTTATAAATATTAGGTAAAAATACACAGGACCCGTTTTCCCATTTTGAGGAAAATTGGCCCAAGAATACAAAAAGCTCTGTTAAAACCGTAAAAATTGACTTAAGTTAAAGAAAAAAAGCTTTTTCAAACTGTCAGAGTGAACAAATTCATTTATATTTATAAATATCAAGAGAATATGTAAAAATCGTAGGGCTTGTTTTTCCAATTAAGGGCAATTGGGCCAAGAAAAATTAAAGCTCTATACAAACAATAAAAATTAATTTCAGTTAAAAAAAGAGCTTTTTCAAACTTTCAGAATGTACAAATTCATTTTTATTTATAAATATAATGAAAAATATGTAAAAATACACACAGCCCGTTTTCCCATTTTGGGGCTAATTGGGCCAAGAGTACAAAAAGCTCTGTTAAAACCGTAAAAATTAATTTTAGTTAAGAAAAAGAGATTTTTCAAATTGTAAGAGTGAACAAATTCATTTACATTTATAAATATCAAAAGTATGTGTAAAAAGTTCAGGTCTTATTGCCCGAAAAATAAACTTTAGTTAATAAACGAGAGTTTTTTTATATTGTAAGAGTAAACAAATTCATACACATTTTTTTTCCGGAACAAAATGTCTTTGTAAACCATAGAAATACAATGCTTTGCTTTGTCCAACCACTGTCTGAAACACTGCTTGTACTTTCTTCTGGGGTATTTTCAAATTAAAAACTCAAGAAAGAAAATAGAGCCGTTTCCACACCTACCGTGAGTTGACACTTACCGTAGGTTTTAAATACTAAAATAAATTTTGCAAAATGTAATTTTGCAAAATATATATTTTGTGATCAACATCATTGTCATGCACTTCTATTACAATACATAAAAACCGCAATACATAGTTACTTATATGAACTCAGTGGGTTTATTACGTCAGCCTATCCAAATACTTTTTTTATAAGTACCAGCTGTTAGAAGCGTTTCAAACAAAACAAGGAAATTCAAAAAATTAAAATAAAATTTTATTTCTAAATTGACTTAATCAGGTAAATAAAATATGAATCATTATTAATATTATTAAAACCACTCGTCATTATAGTATCAACCCAGTGGGCACGGACGTAAAAAAGACGTCTTTAAAACGTCTTATACACGTTTTAGACGTCTTTTGAACGTCTTTTTAACATTTTGGACGTCTTTTTAACTTTCAAAAGACGTCTTTTTTTGAACCGGTGCCCACTGGGAATGTAGTATTTTTCATACGATAAGTATGAACTAAAAAAATAAAAAAACGGCTGCAAAAATTCATTTCTAATAAATTTCTACTTTTTGAGTAATCTAACATATTATAATAACTTTTGTTAAACTCACGGTTAGTGTGGAAACGACCCTAGTAGTTTTCCTTTTAAATATGAAATGTGGAAGAAAAGAGTTACCCATTGCATTGACAAAGTTATTTCTCTGATTGTTTCGCGGTTACCTAATTGTCGATATTGTAGATACTCAACTCTTTTTGTAGCAGCTATTTTTCCAGGACGATAATCAAACTGCATCCCAGTCTCATCCATGTTCCAAATATTTTGCGGTTTTTGAAATAGGTTGTTTTCCATTAACACATTTTTAACAATGGGAAAACTTGTAACAAACATCTTAGAATGTCAAAAACTTTACATGCTGCTCACTGTGAATCTCCATTTTTAACAGTTTCAATGCTGATATCATCGATTCATCATTCCATAAACGGTGTTTTCTGTGTTTGCTTCTCTGTTTTTCAATTTTTGTTGAATTTTCTGTTTTTTTAGTTTTTTTTTTTTTTTTTCATTCTAAAATAAATTTAATTATAAAATGGTTATGACTGTCTAAAAATAAATGTCTGTGTTTCTATGATTATATCATATACATGTATCAAGCAATTTAAGTTGGTTATTCTCTATCTCTCTCTCTGCATATATATATATATATATATATATATATATATATATATATATATATATATATATATATATATATATATATATATATATATATATATATATATATATATATATATATATATATATATATATATATATATATAAGCATACACGGTTTTAACAGTATTACATCACAATAATAGTAGCAATTTAAAAGATTTACAAAAGCAAAATGTTTAAATGTAATCAGGAAAACTTTGAAAATACCAAACATCGAGTTTACAGAATATAATCTTTATCAAATTTTTAAAAAATGTTCTCAAAGCAGTTAACGAGTCAATAAGTACTTTAAACTGCATAACTATAAATTATAAAGTCTAAATATTGTATTATTACTTTAAAGCAATCAATAAAACCAAGCATTAAAGATTTTTTTTGAAAATCGCCCAGAATAAGGACGCAGATATAAGTCAGTTTATCCTAAATAACTAGCTATGTAGGTTGAACGGAGTACCATAATGGCGTCAAGAAAAATATCGAAAAAAATAACAAAAAGTGATTTTTTTAAATCGTTAAGTCCAGATATAAAAAACAAATTATTATTTAATAAAAATTTAATAATCTAAATAATCTTTTTTGTTGTGCCAGAACCCAAAAAAGGAATTTATAACAGTATATGTACTTGTCAAAAAGTGTAAATAAAATAAACTATATAGAAAACGACTTGAAAAATCTTCTAGCTTCTTTTTTAAGAAACTTTGAAGAATAATCTCTACAGATCAACATTTTTTTTTAACTTTTGCAAGTGAAATATAACAGACAATTGGGTTTGAAATTAGGTAGTATGAAAATAATTCCCGAAAAAGTTGCCGAAAAATTCTCTAGTCTATATTCTAAACCATTCACACGGAAAAAGTCACGTGACTGAAAAGTATACTTTAATGATGTAAATAAGAAAAGAGAAAAAGTTAAATAGTAAGAAAACGTCTAATAATATAAAAAAATTATTTAATAACAATTTTCTTGAAATTTTGAGCTCGATTTAAAAATTACTAGTTTTAAAATATATAAATAATGTAATTATTTATAGTTAAATAAAAAATAATTATTATTTATAGTTTTTAATAAATATAAATAATGTATAATAAATAAATTTCAATGACGATATAAACCTCATCTATAACTCTTTTTTGAAAACTTTTAATGAAACCTACAACGCCAACTTTCCATTGCGTGAAACAATTCTTAACGCCAAAGACTTATCTTGTCCGCGGATAACTAAAGGAATTAAAAAGTCCTAAAAAATAAAGCAAAAACTCTATATTAAGTATCTAAAAACTAAATCAGAAAAGCATAAAATCACTTACACAGTCTATAATGAAAATCGGGTCCTCGATATTATTCACCATGCACCTTTAACGTCTCTGAAGAAATCTCACCACGTCCTTCAATGGGATGACGTTGTTAAAAGCGCTGCAGTTGTAAAACACATTGAAAAACGCTTTTATCATAAAAGTAACTTTGTAAAGATATCCGAATATTTTAACAATATCAACTGGCAGATGGAATTCAATGGACGCAATACTGATGACTGTTACAACACTTTCCTGAACCACTACGAGGCTGCATGCAAAACTTATGTCCCAGTGACTAAATCAAAATAGATTCGTCGTAGAAGCGAATGGATGAATGACGACATCAAGAATAAAATAAAAACTAAAAATAAACTATGGTTTCGATGTAGAGCGAATGGATATAAAAATCTTAAACTAGTCAACGAATACAAAGCGTGTAATATTCAATTGAAGAAGCTCATATATAAAGCTCGTTGTGAGTTTGAACTTGATTTAGCGATAAAATTGAAGCACAACCCAAAGATCTGGTTCAAGTATGTTAATAGTAAACAAAATGTTAGAAATACAATAACAGCCTTAAAAGGAATTAATGGCGACGCAATCACAAATCCAATAGAAATTGCAAATCGGCTGAACAATCACTTTAAAAGTGTTTTCAACAAAAATGAAGACGATAAATTGCCATATTTTAAAAAACGAACTGAAGCCATCTGCAAACACTCGCAAATAACGCAAGATCTGGTTAAAAACAAACTGAGCGATTTATCAGTTGAATAAAACCGTTTGGTCCTGAAGTATGGAAAAAAGCTAATGTAACACCACTGTTTAAAACGGAAGTAGACTCGACCCAGGCAATTACCGGCCTATATCCTTAACATTAATTGTATGTAAAGTGATGGAAAAAATATTACGTGACATTATGGTCAATCATTTAGTCGAACATAGCCTTATTTCAAAAAATCAACATGGTTTTGTCAATAAAAAAGCTTGTGTGACTAATTTGTTGGAGTCGATTGACATGATGCCAAAAGCATTATCTGACAAGATATCTATGGACGTAGCTTTTATAGATTTTAGTAAAGCATTTGATATGGTTCCCCACAAGAGACTAATTTACAAACTTGAGGCATATGGTTTTACTGGAAATCTCCTGAATTGATTAAAATTGTTTTTACACCAGCGTTTTCAACGAATCGTGATGGGTGATTATGTTTCCTTGTGGCTTGAAGTATTTAGTGGCGTCTCTCAAGGATCCGTATTAGGTCCAATACTTTTTATCATTTTTGTGAACGATATATCCGATATTGTTAACCATCCATGTAAAATGTATGCTGATAACACTAAACTGCTGGCCCGTTTAGACCATCCATTAGCTTCACAAATGCTTCAAACTGATTTCTACAACATAGCTGATTGGTGTAAAACCTGGAAAATGAAACTTAATTTCGATAAATGTAAAATCATGCACGTAGGTAAAAAAAAAACAATTTTTATACCTACTCAATGCCAGCTAATGACAATAACAGTGTCGAACTAGCATTGACTTTAGTCGAACATGATTTAGGCATCATGATTACGCCAGACTTAAAATGGCATAACAATTCAACTTTTGCAACCAATAAAGCTAACCGTGTATTAGGCATGTTGTATCGTACTTTCAGTCATATGACTCCGCAACTACTTAAAATTCTACATACAACCTTTATACGACCTCATCTGGAATTTGCGGTAGCAGCCAGTAATCCATCATCAAGAATAGATATTGACAAAATCGAGAAAGTACAAAGAAGAGCTACTCGTTTAATGCCTTCGTTCCGTCATACAAAAATCTTCTGAATATACTAAACTTAACGTCTTTAGAAACCCGTCGCATTAGGGGAGATCTGATACAGGCATATAAAATTATTAACAATATAGACATTGTCTCATGGAGTGAACCCCATGTCCTTCGTGTTGGGGAGTCAGATAAAACAAAAACTAGAGGACATCATCTAAAAATGACTGGAGAATATGTTCAAAATTGCGAGCAAAGGCACCAGTTTTTTACTAATCGAATAGTGAATCATTAGAATGCATTGCCGTCAGAAGTTGTATGTGCTTCATCAGTTAATAGTTTCAAAGCTAAGCTTGATGCAGCAGTTTCAAATAACCCGCATTAGTATCGAGATTATAACATTTAGTGAATTTAAAATAGCATATAAAGAAATAAAAAGAAATAAAACAACTGAGCCTGATGATATAAATGGGATTATTATAATCAACTCTTTTGATGCGATTAAAGATATCCTCTTTAAAATTTTTAAAGTATCTATTACTCAAGGATCTTTTCCAGATAGCTTGAAAATAGCAAAAATAACTCCAATCTTTAAAACAGGCGACCCTACAAACGTAACAAATTATCGTCCTCAGTTCTACCATAACCATTTTATCCATCCATCTCAGTTCTACCAGTCTTTTCAAAAATATTATAAAAAATAATGTACAACAGATTGTACATTTATCTTATTGACAATAAATTTCTTTATAAAAATCAGTTTGGTTTTCAAAGAAAAAGTTCTACCTAACACGCTATTCTCCAAGTAACGCGCTGTATTGCCGACTCTTTTAAGAATTCTCAATTTACTCTTGGCATATTTATTGATTTGTCAAAAGCTTTTGACACTGTTAATCACCATATTTTATTGAAAAAGTTAGAAAGCTATGGTATTAATATAAAAATATAACATGTGATGTTCCCCAAAGATCCATACTTAGGCCACTCTTATTTTTAATATACATAAATGATCTTTACAAAGCTTCTAATTTAGCGACTTTAATTTTTGCTAACAATACGAGTTTATTTCAGTCAAACAAAGACATTAAAATACTTTCTAACAATATGACTGAGGAACTTAAAAATATTTCATATTGGTTCAAAAAAAATAGCTTGTCTTTAAATACCGATAAAACAAAATGGATACTTTTTCATCCAACTTCTAAAAAAAAGAAAATTCAAAATATCTTGCTTGACTTATATATTGACAGTAGAGTAATAAAAAGAGAAAAAAACACAAAATTCTTAGGAGTTTTAATAGATGAAAACTTATCTTGGAGGCAACAAATTCATAATATTTAAATGAAAATTGCTAAAAGCATTGGAGTTCTATATAAAGTTAGACATATATAAAATAAACATCAATTAACGCAACTATATTATTCATTTATTCATTTCCATTTAAATTATGCAAATATAATATGGGGAAGCGTTCACAAAACCAAACTTAAATCTCTCTATTGACATCAGAAACACGCAGCTCGCACAATTAATTTTGCGAATCGTTTTTCAAGCTCAACACCACTTCTTAAAGAAATGAAAGTTTTGAATATTTACAAACTAAATATTTTGAATATTTTATGTTTTATGTTTAAATGTAAAGAAAATATATCAGCTAATGCATTTATAAATCTTTATAATTTGAAACCTCAAAACAAATATAATCTTTGTGCCAGTAAAAGTATCGAAGAGCCATTTTGCCAAACTAAATTTAACCAGTTTTGTATTTCTTATTGTGGTCCTTCTCTTTGGAATAAAATAATTTTATCTAAGATTTTTCTTTTAAATGGTCTTATTTTTCTTTTAAACGGAAAGTAAAAGAAATTATCTTTTCAACACAACATAATTATATCTATTTTTAGTATTTAAGTTGTTTTTTTAATTATTTTGATTTATACTTTATTTTATTTATTATATAGGCTGTGAAGAATATTAGAATATTGTATTCTTTTTGTTATTAGATTGTAAAGGGCTTCATGATAAGATCCTGTGATCTTCTAGAAGTCCTGCCGGTAATATATTCAATGTAAATTTACCTTGTACATATTCTGGTAAATAAATAATTAAAAAAAAAAAAAGTTTTAATTATATATAAAGAATGTACCTTAAATTATTTTTTATTAAGGTTGTTTATTTATGTTTAAAAGTTCAGTTTTATTTATTTTTTTTAAAGCTACTCAACTTACCTCTACTAGACAAGGTGAAACAGTTAGGTTTTAAAGAGAACAATGGGACATGAAAAAACGGGTAATTTTAATCGAAAGTCCAATAAATTTTTAAAATATAAACACTTAAGTGATGTCAGATAAAAAAATTTACAAGCATCCAAGAGAAAAATAGCAAAACCTTTTTTTTTTTTTATTTTTTTGGGCCAAAAAAAAGTAAAAAAAGTGCCCGAGTATTTTACTCAACTGCTTTCCAACATTATTTTGTTGCACATTGTGGGAACATTTTAATTCCATAATTTTCATCCATTAGTTATTTTGTTATGTGATGCGTAGTTTTTGAGATATTTTAATTGCCCAACTTGCCCTTATACTCAACTTGCCCCACTCTTCTCTAAAATAACATACAATTAATGTTGATCAGTACAATAACACATAGTTAATTTAGTTTAAAATTAATGTTAAGTGGTAGGGAAGAAAACAGGAGAGAATAGTATATAAAAATTTTTAATATAGGTTGTAACTTGAAATAAGAAGTTACGATATAATTACTTATAATAAATTGTATATGTAGATTGACTAAGGTTTTAGTTTGGATATACATCATGTTGAACAAGAGATCGGCGTTTACGTTTATTTGAAAAAATTGTTTTTTATGTGTAACTACAGCATCCCATGATTAACTAGGTTTTGTTGATTACAACAACTACAACAACTACAGCATCCCATGATTAACTGGGTTTTATGTGTAATTACAGCATCCCATGATTAACTTGGGTCAGCATCCCATGATTAACAAGGGCTTTGGATAAATCGATAAAAACTCATTATGTAATACAGTTAAATATCATTAAACCGATTAGATATGTTTGATTAATGTTAAATCCGTAAAATGATTTTTTAAAGTTAAATTGATTTTATTGTTGTTGTATTAAACGGTATTGTAAAAATAAAAACATTTTGCCCTACAAAAACTAATTTCGCTGATCCAACAAGATTGGATATTTTATTTTCGATACGGATATGCGTAGTTTTTATGTAAAAAGCAAAAATAAAAATTCTCAGGTTTGCTAAGGATAAGCTAACTAAATAGCTTGTCTTAAAAGTAAAAATGAAACTTTTTGCGGAGGTTTATTCAGAATATAAATAAACCCCACAACTCTACAGTCTAGCCATGTTAATATGGTCATTCAATTTTTATTTTCTGTCATTTTCATTTTACTTTATATATTACGTTTATAAACAGCAATTCACTGATGAAAAGGTTTTTTTAAGTTTTTCAAAATTGTATTTTTTTATAAATTTAAAACTCTAATAAATTTTGTTAATCCCCCCGTCAAAATAAAATTATGTTCGTTAAGTAAAACATGACTCATCTTTGATTAATTCAATTAATAAAATAATTCTCTATTTGTTAAAGTAGACTTTGTACGATTAACATACATGAATTTAAGTTTTGAACAGAAAAAAAATAGTTTTGCTAAATTAGAGTTAGTGTTTTGTTTTGATTAATAATTTTCAATGATTTGAATTTTCAGAAAACCAAATGTTAAAATGAATATTTATCAAATATACATATTTTTAAAAATAATTCATATTTCCTGCACGTTACTTGTGAGTAAAAGTTCGGATTGGGGCAATCGGCAAGTAAATGGCGATGACGAATCCATTCCTATTGCATTAAATCAAGCAATACCTATTTGGACGAGCAGTTATCAATCATTCTATGTAAGTAAATTTTTTTTTTCAGACCTTTTGTCTTTGTTTACAAATCATACAAGTATATAACTTTTTAGCGTAAACCATTTGACAGCGATATTAATTTTAGCTAAATGGAAAAGATTATTTGTAGCTTTCGTATATTTCTTCAAATACCTACTTTATAAAAAATTTTATACTTTGTTATCAAAAAAAAAATTGTTTTATGTAGAAAAAGTGATTGGTTGCTTAGTTGCTAACTATGTAAAAAAATTATGGACACTTTTTTACTAGGTGAGTTATAACGGTGGTATATTTACATCCCCAAATTACAAGACAATGAGCTTGAACTACGATTGGTTTTTTTTCCCTAAGTATACTCTTTTGGGGTATTGGGCAGATGCGAATTTCCACCGTCCGTGCTATAATGGATGTGGAATGTTTATTAACACAAATCCTTCAAATGAAGTCTTAACTACAATAGATAATTCAATAAAAAATGGATATTCATCAGACAAACAAAGAACACTGATAGTAACGTGGTACAAAGCTCCATCCTACAAACGAAGACCAGTGAAAGCGGGAGAGTATGGATATGTAAGTTAGATTATGCAGTGACTTAAATGTAGTTAAATTTGCTTATTCTTTGATTAAAATTGAAATTTTTATCTTGGCAAAAGTCAAAGGTAAATTTTTTATAGTAATTTTTAAAACTAAGATATAATGTAAAATAAACAAATTATATAACTTAATAAAGTTTAAAGAACTTTTATAAAACAATAAATATAAAAAGACGAGAGATTAGTTATCTAAATAAACTTTATAAAAGAAAAAAAAAAGGTACTTAAATAGCTACTTTTTAAGAAAAAAGTAATCTTAAACAAAACTTTTTTTCTTACATTTAAATTTTCTGTTTATTTTTGTTATTCAAACATTCTCACTCCGGAAATTAAATGCGCTAACACTGGTCATGTTCACTCTGGAAATTAAATTTGACCGGCCGTGGCGCAGTTGTAGCGCACTTGCCTCAGAAACAAAGGATCTGTAATTCAAATCCCACCTATGGCAAGTTTTGCGACATCGGTTAGGGAGGAAGCGTGAACTTCTAATTAAATGCTCAACCGCGGTGCTCTGTGGTAAGACCGTCATGACTTCTTGGGGCGCCTCAATAAAAAATTAAAAAAAATGCACTAACACTAATTATATTTAAGTTTTCTCCCTCTTGAAATTAAATGCGCTAACACTGTCATATTAAATATTTTCACTTTGGAAATTAAATGAGCTAACCCTAGTCATATTTAAATACTCTCACTCCAGAAATTAAATGAAATAAATATAAAAAGATTGTTTAGCGTTATTTATATGGAGTAAATATATGATTTTGCACTATTTATACCAAGTAATGAACCTTTATTAATTGAAATATTCAAAAAATTTCATCTAATTTATTTAAGTTAAGTAGCGTAGTATTTTTTTACATTCGGTTACTTACCATATAAATAGTATAAATATAAATTCGGTATAAACATTTTTAATACCATAATTATCACCTAAAAAATAAAAGAAATAAAAAATATCATCTAAAATAATAATAATAAAGAAAAAAAAAAAAATAAAGAAAAAAAAAAAATGAAATCAATCGTGACCAGAATTCACGTGAGATAAAAAAACTTGCTAACGAAAATAAGAGAGAATATTTTCTTAGCAATGTTTGTCAGTAAAATATTGTCCAGTATCCAGTCCGTAGAATATTATCCATTATCCAGTCAGTAGAATATTATCCATTAAAATTAATTATGAACTCTAAAACCTAGAGGAGAACAATTATTAACATGACTTTCAAAAAAATTTAAAAGTAACTTATATAAAATATTAAATAAATAACGTACATAATTCGAGTAATATGTGAACATTAGGGTCGTTATAAAAACAACATTTAAAAAAATTGTTTTCTTGGACCCCCTAAATGCGTTTTGTATAATGAAACGAAACTAAGTTTTAAAAGTTTTGTATGACCCTTTCATTATTTAACGGGTCTCTAATATTTTAGCCAAAAAAAATTCTTTAAAAGTAGGTCAACCTGGAACTCAAAAGAAGCAAAATTTTATAAAAATTCCAAAAAAGTAATCATGCTATTTTAAAATATATTGAAGAAAAGTATTGAAAAAAAAAAAAGTTATAAATAATTATTTTTATATTCAACACATACAAAAATAAAATAAATCTAAACTTTAAAGTTGCCAAATGCTACATTAAGTAAGAATGTATAAATATATTTTTAATTTGTCAAAAATCTTTTTTGACATTAAAGATGCAGGTAGAGCTCTACCTGCATCTTTAATGTCAAAAAAGATTTTTCGCCTTACCGAAACTTGCTCCGGCGACTTTTCTGATATGATATGAAAAAGATAGTAAAAATTGATTACAATTTTTTTTCAGTTAAAGCATAAAATTAAATAAAATTATAAATGATTTATAACCCTATTATTTACATTAATGCAAAAAATGCCCATTATTTGAGAAAAACATTTCGTTTATTCAACTGATCACTGGCTTCTTTTAAACCTGAATTCAGTTTAAACATAAATTCTCAGAGTTTTTCACAAATTATAATTTAAAGATAAAACACAAACTTATATTTTAAACAGAAAGGTAGAGTTACCAGTAAAACTAAAGAGGCTTTATGATAAATGATCGTTAAGTAAAAAGGTTCGGAAGAATGAATCAAGAAAATGACGAATGCTACTCTGTTATTCGCTGTTATAGAAGTAGTCACATTGTAATCTTTCTGAGTTCACCAACAAAAAAACTGAAAAGAATTTTAAAAAAATCGTTTTGATAAGAATGCTGCAATTAGTTGCTTCTAGTATTCTTCACAATTTTAGTATTCTTCACAATTCTGTAAATCTTCAAATTGACAAAAAATGTCAGTTTAAGAATACATGAAATTTTTTTGAAAAAGGTATTGTTTATTATATTGACCTATCTATGCTTGTAATGAAAGTGTGTTCTCCACAATCAGTTGCTTTTGGACCCATATGTTTTTGTGGCCCTCTTGTTACCAAAGTTTGAATCGCTTTTGAAGAGGACTAAGTGATTCAGACTGATCAAACTTTGAGTTAATTACGCTTAAACTCACTTTCAATAAAGAACCACCACCATCTACTCAAAGCTTTAGAATAGCCTTGATTCCAGGTTCTCCTGATGATACAATTTTTGATGATACAGGCAATTGCTCCTGGCAAGGTTTGAACTGATGCAGATCCTGGCAATGAATCACTCAGCAATCATCTAAGTTGGCAGCAAGTTTTAGAGAGCTTATGGTGTAGTAGGCTCTCAATTGCTTGCCGCTATCAGCAATTTTTTTTTGAAAGTTAGTTTCAACTAGCCTTATTGGGCTAAATTGGTTTAGAGCAGATCCAGGTTTCTTCATTCCAGTATTTGAAAGCCCCATATTTTCTTGGATTGAAACCATGTTTTGAACACTAAAATAACCAGAAATGGGTTGCTTTTCAGCTGATAACCCTAAAAATTACATTATAAACTAAACTTATATTATTTATATTTTGTAATACCATTCAGATTAAAATAATAATTTAAAAAAATATTATTTTATATTTTCTTAAAGCCAATAGCATTCCTTGTATTTGGCTGATCCAAATTGTTCCTCTTGGTGATGCATCTTTGTCTAAAATCACAGTGGATGCAATCTTCTCTGTATCTGTTGGGTCTGCTAATGCAAGTTCTATGAGGTTTTTATGACGTTTTCTTTCTGTACCATGATAAGGATGTCCACAAGCAAGCACAGATAAGCAAGTTGTGCACCTTTTTTCAGCATAAGGAGTCTTTTCGTGGGCTAACTTGGCCTTCATTGAACTGTAGAGGGTATTTTTCTTTTCCATTAGTTTTGGCAATTTTGAAGATCAAACAATAAAACTTTGTGATGGTTTTTGCAACATTGGAGTCAAAATTGAACTGGTCTAGAAAATTTTTATCACTTGGCTAATTTATCTTGAATTGACAAGTCATGCAAATTCCAAAAGGCACACAATCAACACTGAAGTTTAAAGTGTTTAAGATAATATCGTGAATTTTCGTATATAAAGATTTATCAATTGTCTGTCTGCCTTTTTCATACAGATTAAACATACGGATTTTCGACAGTCTTCGTGGTTTTTGGCAAACAAAGGCATAATGGAAAACGATATTTTGGTGCTAGTAAATAAAATATTTGTTTCATGGACGTAAACAATAAGTACGTTATAGGGATAGGCTGAGTAAATTTTCTAAGCACAAAAAATTTGATTAAAATTTCAAATAGACTCTTTATAAGTACCTATAAAAAATATAGTGTGAATAATTATCACTTTGATAATTAAAAATTTGTAATACTTCATTTTTAAGAGGCCTGTATGACGTGACTAAACGGACTTATAGCGACGGATATATTCGTCCTGTTAAAAGAAATTCGTCCGGATTGTTATCTATCATTAAATAATAGTCAAATTTCTGAACAAAATTATAATATCTCTGTTGAATTTCAAACTATGATTTTAACTTTTGATGATATGAGAACCTTATATCATACACAACCATTGGTTAATGGGATTTTAATGGGATATTTTTCAGCATTAGGGTCCCAGATTTTCATTTTTAGGATGTTTGAGCAGAATAATATTAATATTAAGAGCAGTGCATAGCTTGATAATATATATATATATATTTTGCTATTTATTTTTGTTCCTCTCGAAGCTGCAGAATTAACTTTTTTTTGATCCTTTTAAAATTGTATTTTAACAAGGAAAACAAATATAAAACTAAAAATTATGAAAATAATTGACTTTACGAAAAAAGCTCGGGCCCAAAAATAATAAATACTAACGGTATAAAAATTTTGAGAGCAAAAATTAGGACGTTAAAAATTAAATGGTAAAAAGTTGTACCAAATACTTTCGTTGAAGGTAAAATATATAAATCAATTGGAGCGCCAAGAGTAATAACATTGCGTGTGATAAATAATTTAATAAATAGATCATTTTAATCTATTTTGTTGTACCATACAAAATTGAGAAACTTTTTCCTTTTTAACATATGTTTTCAGCCTCCTCCCCCAACTTTTACGACCTTCCTACCCCACTGCACGGACACACACACACAATGTTTATTAGTAATAAACAAATAATTTATTTGTAATATTTTTTTTATTTTTTAATTATTTAAGTTAATATTTTATTTATAGTGGCAAAATACTTTTCAAGCAGTTTTAACATCTAATGGAACAAGCACTTATTTTATTGTGGCTTATGATGATATTACTTATCCTCAGCAAAGCGAAGGAAGTGCAAAGGTAAATCATAATATATATATATATATATATATATATATATATATATAATATATATATATATATATATATATATATATATATATATATATATATATATATATATATATATATATATATATATATATATATATATATATATATATATATATATATATATATATATATATATATATATATATTTGATCCTTATTTTTTAAAAAGAAAGAATCCAAAAAATATTTCTTTTTCTATTTGTTTTTTTTTTTATTTTTATTATTTTTTTTTTTTGCATTCTGGCAATCTTTATAAAAATTTAAGTTTCCGATAAAAAAATGTTTAAAGTATTTAAAAACAAAAAAATAACAAGTTAAGATTTAATTAAAAAAAAAAACAATGAGCACGTGGTTTAAGTGATACAAAAATTTTCATTTTTATACCGCTTTATTGATTAAATAATGATGAAATAATGAAATAATGATGAAATAATGATGAAATAATAATGAGTTAATGATGAAATAATAATGAAATAATCAAGATATAAAGATATAATAGAAATAAATGAATGAAAAAAAAAAAGGAAAAAAAAAAATTGCGCAAGCCAATTTCTCGGTCATGCGCAAGAAACTTTTCCCTCCCAAAAATCCCATTTTTGGAAAGGAAAGTTCCTAAAAAAATTGTTTTAATAGGAGCTTTCAACTACTTTAGGAACTTCACGAGACTAAAGCTTGAGAAAGTCTTATAGATACACTCATTGTAAAAAAAAAATTAATTTTTCAGATTGGTTTTTATAAAGATTCAAGTTTTAGAATTGTATTTCCTGGATCGGAGAACACAAACCTTGCCCAAAATAAACTATTCTGTCAATCTAATATTAATCTTCCTGGTGTTTATGCAATTGGAATAACACCATCGAGTTATCAAGAAATCATTAAAGCAGGTAAGGAAGTATTATAATGTTAACTCTGAATGCATTTTTTTATATTTATAAATTTTATTCCAGATTTTCTTTTTCTATATTTTACCGAAAGTAAAAGATAATACACTTTGTACTACCAAAAATTTTTAGAAAAAAACTTGTATCAATATGTTTTTTTCTTTTTCACAATAAACAGTATCACTAGTTTATTGTGAAAAAAACAAAAATAAATAAAAAAACTTTTATTTAATGACTTTAAAAAAAATCTTAAAAAACTTTAGTTAGTCTTAAATTATTTTATTCTGTTTTTTTTTTTTTTTTACAATAAACAGTGATATTATTTGTTTTTCAAAAAATTCTTAAAATTTCAAAAAAGTCTTTATGTTCGAATTGATTTTTTTTTTTTTTAATATATACGCATTTTATGAAACTATATAATGTAAAATTCAAAAAAATAAAAATAAAAATAAATAAAAAAAGAAACAAAATTATATATGTATTTTATGAAACTAATAAAAAAAGTTCTCGATGAGAAAACAATACACGTTTTCTAAGAGTTTTTAAAAGAACTCGTTATTTAATTTTAATAATAAGTTTTTTAAATATTTCTTAAAAGTATTTTGATAGCTCTCATTAAATTAGAATTGATTGTTGTATAGATTGTAACTGTTATATGTTGAATAGAATGGGGTGAGATGGGGCCAGGGGCGGATCCAGCATTTTTTGGTCAAATAAGGATGCTTTGCAAAAAATTGCGATGATTGGAGATTGGGAACAAAAAAGCCCCAAAATATTTGCCCCCTGCCCCAAACATTAAAGCAACAAGTTGATGAAATAATTTTTATTATATTTTTAACTAGACTTATATTTATCGATAAATTTTAAATTTCATAGTAAAATAATTTAGCGTTCAAAAATTATGACCATATAAAATTTGCAACCCCCTCAAATTGAGGGGGGTTTAAACTTTATATAGCCTTAATTTTAGAACGCTATATTATTTTACTATGAAATTTAAAATTCATCGAGTAATCTCAGGTAAATTTTTTTAATTTATAAAATTTTTTTTAGGCATTAACATGTTTTCAAGTTCATGTTCAAATTGTCAAGGAGACAAACTTTTACAATGTAGTAAGTATAATTTCTTCTTGCAAATCATTAATTGGTGGAAAATGGATTTTGCAGTTTTCACACTTTAACATTCCAGAAAGTAAAAAAAGAAAATGCACTTTTCACATCAATATTTATTGATGTGAAAAGTTCACATCAATATTTATTGATGTGAAAAGCTAATAATATTAAATTTATTAAAATACAAATTGATAAATAAGTTTGTATGACAAATATTTTAATGTATAGAATTAAAAATAAATTAGTGTATAGAATAAAAAAAACAACTTAATTAAGTTTTGATCAATAAGAAACATACAACAATCAAAAAATCTTATAGCGTCCCCATTAGCACTATCACTGAGGCCTGACGAAGAGCAACTTGCGTTTTCTCAACATGCCGGTGAGACGTATACGTCTCACCGGCAGAGGTTTTAAAGACCTAGGCTTGTGCTATAGCACAAGCCTAGGTCTTTAAAACTGCCCAGATACTGTATCTAGTTGATTGGGATCAGAGCTTACTCATAAATTCAAACAAATTATCTCAAGTGTCTACTTTTTTAAAAATAATAAAAGGGTGTAACACGGATCTTGTTCTTTAAATTTGTGCTCCACTGAAATCTAGTGGATTGAGGTCAGGACTATTTGTTAGATGTAATGATTTTTTTTTAATAAAGCAACAAAAAACAGTAGATCTTCTTGTGTGCATAGATCCCGGCCAAAACCACAGTGGTTAGCGACTCGTCAGTAAACAGAATTTTTGTGTGATCAGTTTGTGAGGTTTTTGTTGTCGTCTTTTCATCAAGGTTTTTTCATCAAATGGATATTGATAAGATTCCTTGCTGATGAGTTCTCAGGCCCTTATTCTTCTTTAACTGAGCTTCAGTGCTATCCGAAGCATAGAACGTTGCTGATTACGGATGGTAGTGACAAACCCTCGTTTTCCAACCACGGTAGATTCTCAGTTGTGCCTAGCTGCAGTTATAGTTGGATAATCTTACTGACTTAGGATGATGGAATATATAACTGTTGTGCTATATCATAACTACGTGTTTGAACATTACAATATTTGGTTTTTATTCAATTTTTTGAGACATATAAGGTAAAAATTATAAATCTAAAGACGTCTTAAGAAAAGACTTCTTAGATCTAATTTCTCAGATATCTATTAGACGCAGGTGAGACGTCTGATTTATATGCCAATGTTAAAAGTATGAGATAAAGTTCTAATAACAATATAAAAGATAAAAATGAGACATATAAAAGATACTAACTACGGTCACTTTTTTAATTCATACATATGTTATTTAAAACCCTGGTATATAAATTTGCCGAATAGTCACACATGTGCAGTGAACGCCTGAGGGAAGAAATGAAGTACTAGAATAAAGGAGAATTATTTTTCGAACAAAGCATATTTTTGAGACAAAATAAGTTGAGACAAAAATAAAGATTATTAGAGGAATATTTATAAACAAATAAGACACACTTTATACACTTTTTACATATATTTGGAACTTAGAGTTTTATTAAAGTTCATAGCAGCCATGACTCAGCGGTAAGAGATCTGGCCAAGAAGACACATAAACGACCTTTGCATGAAAGGAGCCGTAAATTTCCTAATCAAATGCTCTTCCGTGGTGCTCTAGGAAAAAACTGATAGGACTTCTTGGAGTACATTAAATACCATGCATAGTATTTAAGGTAAGATGACTAATATGATCTGATTATAAATGTCTGAATAGTGTTTAAAATTTAGACGTCTGTTATATGCCATTAAAATGTCAATCTGAGACGTTATTGAAATTTCTTACAGACTTCTTTGTGTCTGCTATGTAGGTTTGAGTAAAGAAAAAAGTTTCAACACAAATTTTAAAAGACTAGGTAATAAAAAAAACTGCGAATTACAAACTAATTTTTTAATTTTGTGACTTTCTTTTTAAATATTTACTATTTTGAGTTTTAAAATACCAGATTATTGAAATTTATTAAAACTGCACTAAGAAAAATAAATATCTAAATTTGTCGTAAAAACGAATTGTAGCACCAGAGTCTTAGTAACAGAAGTCTGTGCGCGGTGCAAAGTTAAAATTTGACGCCCTAAGTACCATATCCCATATAGGTTTACTGTAAATTCACTAAAACACTGTTTGCTGGGAACTTACTTTAGTTGATAAAGTTAGTTAGTTTCTTAAATAAGTTATTGAATATAAAAACTATTGCTATTACTTTTTTTAATTTACTTTTTACCAATTTCAGTTATTATTATAGTTTTATTCTCTTTGTCATTAACAAAAAAAAAAACTCTAACATTATATTAGTATTTGAATTTAATAAACACTCAATGTAATAATATTTAGTGTAAAGAAAAAACAAATGAAAAATAGGAATGTTCTATCCGTTGATTTTTAATTAATAGTTCTTTCTTCAAGAATTTGTTTAAATAAGTCTTTTTTCTATTTTGCATTCCAGCATTCTATTGAAAATTTCAAGAAATAACAAATGTTGGGGGAGAGGGGAACATAGTCGTAGAATATTTTACTTTTACCCTAAGTGATGATGCAAAAATTGAATGCTCGGTATTCCATATGAACCTAAGGTGTATAAGTTTATTCTGAAGTTTTTTTTATTAAAATAGTTACTGAATTGTATTTCTTCTTTACTTGAAATGAAGAACTCAATTTTTTTGGCATTTAACATAATAGATTTTAAATTACTGTGAATATTGCATGTTTTTATAAGCTTTTTGGAACCAGAAAGGGTAAAGCTTAAAAGTGCATTATTATCCGCATTAGCTATTCCAACCAGTAAAGTTACCCGATATATATGAGCAAAAAGTGTCTCGATTATTTATTTTTCCTGCTTGATTGATTTACTATATCTATATATACCATATATCTATTATTGTAATGATCTATGAAAAGATTAACATTGTATAAACTTACTAACTTCCATATTACTTATATATTTGTACTAAAATTTTATTTTTTGTGAAAGGGTGAAAGTAGCTTATAAAAACAGCAAAAGAATTATTAAAAAACGAATTTAAACCATTAGATTAATCTATTTTCTTATTTGCTATTTACTTATTGTCTTTTGAATTAACGTCAACCACCTTGTTAGTGTATTTTACACTGCTAGGCCAGTAACGAATTTATAACGTAAACCGCCTAGGCGGTATACGTTATAAATTCAAAAGACAGTAAGTAAATTGCAAAAAGAGTTGGTTGCTAAAGCAAGTTAAATAATGCAACAATGCATAAGTTTATAATTTCTTCAATCTAAGAATGATCATTTTTAGTAACTTGCATATATATAGCTATGCAGCAATATTTTTTGTTATTGTGAGACAAAAGTTGTTATTGTTTGGCAAAAGTTGTATTGGTTGTAAACAAAGTAGAACAAAAAAAGGTGTTATAGAAAGAAAAAGAAAAAAAGCCATTTGTTTTATGAATCTTAATCTATCCCAGCTAACACACTTACATTGGGCCAACGTATGTAAAACCATTGCGAATGTCAGCTCCTTTTTCCAATGCAAAAGCAACGTTGACCCAATGTCATTTGGTTAATGATAAAATTATTACCGACGTAACTAAAAACATCTGGCAAATTTACATTGGTCCAATGTATGTAAAAATATTGCAAAAAATTGATTGTTTTTACGATCTAAACCCAATGTTGATCCAATGTATAAATCTCAACATTGATTCAATGTATATAAATTAACGTTTTTCCAACGTATGTAAAAACATCGCAAAAAATTGATTGTTTTTACGATCTAAAACCAACGTTTATCTAATGTATATATTTCGTCATAGATTCAATGTATATATAAATCAGCATTGATCCAATGTATATAAATGCATCGCCAAAAATTGATTGTTTACGAATTGATTGTTAACGAACTAAACCCAATTTTGATCTAATGTATGCGACCAAATAAAATCTTCTTTATTAAAGTATTAAACCACAATCAACACATTGATTTTGGTTTAATATTTTAATATATATATATATATATATATATATATATATATATATATATATATATATATATATATATACATATATATATACATATATATATATATATATATATATATATATATATATATATATATATATATATATATATATATATATATATATATATATATATATATATATATATATATATATATATATATATATTAAAAATATATTAAATATATGGTAAAAATAATAAAACACATAGTATTGCTAAATTTCTTATTTTCATTATTAAAATAAAACATTACAATATACCCAGCAAACATTGTATTATTGAAATTGTACTGGATTATATAAATATTTTTTAGCAGTTGATATTCATTAGAGTTTTGCTCATTGGTTACTTAATGGCCATAGAGCCATTTGTTGCAGCCGCTATAGCGGCTAAACTCTAATGAATATCAACTGCTAAAAAATATTTTTATATAATCCAGTACAATTTCAATAATACAATGTTTGCTGGGTATATTGTAATGTTTTATTTTAATAACGAAAATAAGAAATTTAGCAATAGTATGTGTTTTATTGTTTTTACCATATATTTAATATATTTTTAATATATATATATATATATATATATATATATATATATATATATATATATATATATATATATATATATATATATATATATATATATATATATATATATATATATATATATATATTAAAAATATATTAAATATATGGTAAAAATAATAAAACACATAGTATTGCTAAATTTCTTATTTTCATTATTAAAATAAAACATTACAATATACCCAGCAAACATTGTATTATTGAAATTGTACTGGATTATATAAATATTTTTTAGCAGTTGATATTCATTAGAGTTTTGCTCATTGGTTACTTAATGGCCATAGAGCCATTTGTTGCAGCCGCTATAGCGGCTAAACTCTAATGAATATCAACTGCTAAAAAATATTTTTATATAATCCAGTACAATTTCAATAATACAATGTTTGCTGGGTATATTGTAATGTTTTATTTTAATAACGAAAATAAGAAATTTAGCAATAGTATGTGTTTTATTGTTTTTACCATATATTTAATATATTTTTAATATATATATATATATATATATATATATATATATATATATATATATATATATATATATATATATATATATATATATATATATATATATATATATATAAAGTATAGGCTTGCCATTTATATATAAATGGCAAGCCTATACTTTCCGAACAAAACTACAGCAGCCTGCTCAAAATGCCTATATTGGTCCGCTAAAATTTTGCTATAGAATGTTTGCTAGGTAGTTATTACAAAATTTTAATTTTAAATAAAAGTAGACCAAAAACATTTACAAAAAATGACATCAGAAGCAATTATGTATTATTATTATATAATTTTGTGTTTTATTTTATAAAAAAGATTCTTATAACTCTTAATTAGTTAACATAAAATTAAGGTCAGTTCCCACTCATCCATTTTTCTACAAGGACGGGAAAGGAAGGAAAAAATAATTACGTGAACATTCGTAGTCTAAATTTTAATTTGTCTGAAGCAAAACTACCGATACTCAAGTAATTATTTTTCCCTTTCTTTTTCCCATTCCCGTAGATAAATGGATCAGTGGAAAAAATGACCCATTAAGACTAAAATAAGCAAATAAAATAGAAATTAGAAAAACATTGAGCTATAAAATGAATCTGTCTTTTATAATTTTTTATTAAAAAAAGCAACAAAAAAAAAAAGTATTTTATTTTTCTATTTTTGGATAAGCACGCTCATCTTTGTCTCTCGAGTTGATAAAACTAATCAAGCTCATTTAATGGAATCATTTTCAAAATGTTTTCTTAAAATTTTCAAAGAAGAGAAATATAAACGTTAAAAATTAATTGCTTACATGATAACCTTAATCATAGCTTAAATTAAAAATAAAATTATTAATTATTGTTTATACTTTATTTGCAATAATACTTGATGTTTATTAATAATTTATAAAACAATTTAATAATTCGTAACTATATAGCCTAATAATATAAGTAAAATACTCATTCTACACGAAATCCACCCGGAACCCATGTGAGACACAGTTAATAATATACTGGGCAACCTGGATCACGATCTTCTTACTGCTGTTTTCTTTATTATTATATATTGTTTCAATAACAAGAACATATTACGTTAAAATAAAAAAAACTTATACATAACATTTGAGTAAAACTCGTGTTTTTTTAAATAATTTTTTACAGCTGATATTTTAATGCAATTTTGAATTTTTTTTAGTTTATTTTATTGTTTTAATTTTCTGAGATTTTGAATTTATTTTCAAATAATTTGTTAAATAAGTTTTTCTGGAAATTCGGCGATAAGTTTGGTAAAAAATGACAATTTAAATAACTCGCTGTACTACAATTAATGTTAATGATGAAATTTATAATTTTTATTTGTTTTATAATTTTTTTAGATTTAGAATCAAATGCAACTCAACAGTCTGCTTCTTCAATGTATGTAACAACTCAATTGCCTTCAATGTATGTAGCAACTCAATATACAGTTAAATCTTCAATAAACCAAGATTTTATTACGCCTACTAGTACAAAAACATATGAAACACCATCAGCATATGAAACACCATCAGCATATTCAAACGGTATCCAGTTCATATCATCTTCTCCAAATGGAAACAGTTTGCCTTCAACTTTACCTCAACCTTCAACAAGTCAAATTTTTGTTAAGTCAAGCAACGCAATTAAGACCCCGTCATTACTTTCAACTGAAATTCAATTCATGCTTTCATCTATAAATGAAAACAATTTAGTTTCTTTAGCTCAACCCTCTACAAATCAAGTTGTTGTTACTCCGACCATTACAAGTACTATTACAACATCTCCACTATATTCAGTTAACATGCCACTTATGTCAACATCTACAAATGCAAAGAGTATAATTTTAACAACAGATCAATCTTCAACAAGTCAAGGTTTTTATAAGCCTACTAGTTCAAATAAATATGAAACATTATCAGTATACTCAAATGGTGTACAGTTTACGTTGTCATCTACTAATGAAAATAGTATACCGTTAAACTCAACTCAACCTTCAACAAACGAACCTTATATTACAGCTATCACAGCTAATATTAACATGCCTTCTTCACCAAAAATAACAGATTTGCAATCTTTATCTTGGCCAAGAAGTGAAAACAATATAGTTTTAACCTCAACTCAATCTTTAAGCCAAATATTTGTTACACCAAGCAGCACAAATGAAAACAAGACACGATCATTACTTACAACTGACATTCAGTCTATGTTTTCATCTACAAATGTTTTAGTTTCAACTTTAGCTCAACTCTCAACAAATCAAATTGTTATTACTCCTACTACAGCGAATCCAGCATCTCCTATATATTCAGCTGACATGCCACTAATGTCACCATCTACAAATCCAAACAATATAATTGTAACCACGGTTCAATTTTCAACCAGCCACGCCTTTTACAAATCTACCAGCACAAATGGCTACATGGTATCTTCCAAATATTCAAATGTTATGCCACTTGTAACTGAAACTAAAATCGAGAACCCCATAGTTTCAATATCAACTCAACCATCTACAAATTTAATAATGAATACACCTAGCATCACAGGTAGTACTGACTTTTCACAAGGTTTAACCAAAATGCCATTTGTGTCCACTTATAGCAAAAATTTAGCTTCAACTGCAGCTCAACCATCAACAAATTTAATAATGAATACACCTAGCATCACAGGTAGTATTGAATTCTCACAAGGTTCAACCGAAATGCCATTTATGTCCACATATAGCGACAATAAAGTTTCATTTGCAGCTCAACCATCAACAAATTTAATAATGAATACACCTAGCATCACAGGTAGTATTAAATTCTCGCAAGGTTCAACCGAAATGCCATTTGTGCCCACTTATAGCAAAAATTTAGCTTTAACTGCAGCTCAACCATCAACAAATTCAATAATGAATACACCTAGCATCAGAGGTAGTATTGAATTCTCACAAGGTTCAACTGAAATGTCATTTATGTCCACATATAGCGACAATATAGTTTCAACTGCAGCTCAACCATCAACAAATTTAATAATGAATACACCTAGCATCACAGGTAGTATTGAATTCTTACAAGGTTCAACCGAAATGCCATTTATGTCCACATATAGCGACAATAAAGTTTCATTTGCAGCTCAACCATCAACAAATTTAATAATGAATACACCTGGCATCACAGGTAGTATTGAATTCTCACAAGGTTCAACTGAAATGTCATTTATGTCCACATATAGCGACAATATAGTTTCAACTGCAGCTCAACCATCAACAAATTTAATAATGAATACACCTAGCATCACAGGTAGTATTGAATTCTCACAAGGTTCAACCGAAATGCCATTTATGTCCACATATAGCGACAATAAAGTTTCATTTGCAGCTCAACCATCAACAAATTTAATAATGAATACACCTGGCATCACAGGTAGTATTGAATTCTCACAAGGTTCAACTGAAATGTCATTTATGTCCACATATAGCGACAATATAGTTTCAACTGCAGCTCAACCATCAACAAATTCAATAATGAATACACCTAGCATCACAGGTAGTATTGAATTCTCACAAGGTTCAACCGAAATGCCATTTGTGTCCACTTATAGCAAAAATTTAGCTTCAACTGCAGCTCAACCATCAACAAATTTAATAATGAATACACCTAGCATCACAGGTAGTATTGAATTCTCACAAGGTTCAACCGAAATGCCATTTATGTACACATATAGCGACAATAAAGTTTCATTTGCAGCTCAACCATCAACAAATTTAATAATGAATACACCTAGCATCACAGGTAGTATTGAATTCTCGCAAGGTTCAACCGAAATGCCATTTGTGCCCACTTATAGCAAAAATTTAGCTTTAACTGCAGCTCAACCATCAACAAATTCAATAATGAATACACCTAGCATCACAGGTAGTATTGAGTTCTCACAAGGTTCAACCAAAATGCCATTGATGTCCACATATAGCGACAATATAGTTTCATTTGTAGCTCAACCATCAACAAATTTAATAATGAATACACCTAGCATTACAAATGCATCTTCAAAAGATTTTAATGACTTACGATCTATTTCATTGTCTTTCAGTGAAAAAGATATAGTTTCAACTGCAGCTCAACAATCTACAAACTTTATTTTGAGTACGCCTAGCCTCACAAAGGTTGATATGACATCTTCACAAGTTCAAAATTTATCAAGCCAAATTTTAATTACATCTAACATCATAGTTGATAATAGAGCTTCCTCAAAAATTTCAGTTGTTGCGTCATTTATGACATCTACTAATGAGAACCAAATAGTTTCAACTTCAGTTTTACCTTTTCCGAAGTAAATTTCAACTAGATATCAGTTTTTTATGATTTATGACTTCATTAACTCTCACAAAACAATTTAAACAACTTAAAAACAGATTCAACCTGTAGCTCATTTCTATGTTTGCAATAAATTTAAATAATAAAAGTTTCCGATGCAGTTCATACTTTAACATATCTAATTTTGATTATAATTTGCTGTACAAATGGCTTCGTCATTTATAACTTATGTATCATATATTATTACTCTTTCAAAAATATTCCTCATGTATAAGTATATTGTAATATTAAGTACAATGTCAAATTTAGAAGTTCAGCTCTAAATAAACACGTAGTTTCAAAAGCTGGTTTCTAGATTTGTCTTACTTTTTGTTATTTTTAATGGAATTTTTTAAAGTAATGTTGCTTAACTACTTCATTATTTTATATTTGTATTTGAATGTTTAATAATATCATCATAACAGGTTAAAATTTAGACAATATTTAATTGAGTTTTCTCAAAGACTTCTTCTTAATCTATTATTAAAAAAAAAAAAAAAAAATTAAATTATCCATACATTAGTTTTTATTTCAACAAAAATCAACTCTCAATTTTACAATGTGCAAGTAACCTAATATTTTGTAATATACCAGCGTTTTCTTTGCAATTTTACATCAAGTCACATTTTTGGTAATATTATTCCATAAACTCCAAGAATATTTAATAGCATTTGCACTTTATCTCTTTCTCTCAAAATTCTCTTCAGAATAGCCCAATAAAATTTGAAGATTCGCTCGAGCTGTTTGGTGGAGTAGCACCCTTTGAAACAATATTTAAATTATTTAAATATATGCAATAATTGATTGATGTCAATCTGGGATCAATATTATAAAACATTTAACCGGCGTAAAATGCTACGGCGGTAAAACTTACTGGCGTAAATAATTTGTGTCAATGTTATAAAATATTTTCAAAAATTACCGGCAATAAACCCTTCACTGCCAAAACGTTTACCGTCAAAAAATGTTCCGGAAAAGGGACCAACGGAAATTTTTGTTGTATATCCAAAGATATAATTATTTAGTTGAAGAAACATGTGATTCAGAATGTTTTTGATTTTAACACAAAAACACTTTGTTTTTGACAACCTTTTTTATCTTGATAATGTTATTAATCCAAACAATAAATTTCTAAAGGTTAGCAGCCGTGGCGCAGTGGTTAGAGCGCTTGCTTTGGAAGCAGGAGATTTAGGTTTGAACCGTACTCTAGGCATACTTTCGCCTCACGGTAAGGAAGTTAAATAGGTCCTAGTTAAATGCACTTTCGTGGTGCTCTGTGACAAGAGATAAATAGCAAGATAAAAAATAAAAAAATGAATAAATAAATTCAGGGCAAAAATATCTACAAAATTTGATGCGGAAAAGTTTTATAACATTGAATTGAAAAATATTTTACGACTCTAAATTTACGGCTATAAAATTTAAATTATAATATAGTAAATTATTCCCGGTAGGATTTTGCGCCAGAAAAACATTTTATAACATTGACCCTGGTCTTTATAAAACCGCTAAGTAAAAGGGCTCATTTTTCCAAGCATTCATAAATTTGATATTAAAGGTTTGTTTGTGACGGAAAAAAAACTTTTAAATTCACAACTACAAAAATACTTTAAACATTTACCAAATCAATATATATCAAAATATTTTGTTTATGTTCAAACATAAAATAGGAACTGTTCCAAGTTGATTTATAAATGACTTTTTTAAAACTAATATAAATAAATTTAGCACTTGAGCAGCTGGAAAATATATAGTACCCTTGAAAAAAAGAAAACTATCCCAATTCTCTAAAGCATATCATGGTTATTACTTATTTAACAAATTAATGCGAAAAAGTTCCTTAATATCCCTCCTGAAAAATAGAAACTCCTTAAAAACTTAATCTTAAAAACTCGTCTTAGATACAATCAGTTATATGGAAATTTTCTAATATCTTATGAGTAATTCAAATATCAAAAACATGCCCCAAAAAAAAATCTTGAATATATAAGCAAGTAAGCATATATATATATATATATATATATATATATATATATATATATATATATATATGTATATATATATATATATATATATATATATATATATATATATATATATATATATATATATATATATATATATATATATATATATATATATATATATATATAAAGAATGAGGTGGAAAGCGTTTTTCTTTATTAATGATGATCAAAATAGTAAGAACAGTACCTTTTATAATAATAATTATGGAATAAAAACACCAAATTACCCTAAACAAATTACTGAAATGTGTGCGTTTGAAAGCGAATTAATAGAATTAATAAAAAACATAAAATTTCGTAAAGTTTATAGCAAATTTCAGAAAAAATTAAAAGAAGATATATCTAATATACTCAATTGTAATCTTACCTACACTTTTGCAGATAAGTAAAAAATGATATAAATAAAGAAGGTAAACGCATTTTACAGAATCATAAATTTTTTATTAAAATCGATATCAATACATCATCTAACTGCTTTATAACATTAAAAGACTACAAAGAAAACTTTGCAAACAATCCAACAGTTCGATTATTAAACCCTGCCAAAAATGAAATCGGCAGAATTAGTAAAGTTATTCTTTCAAACATAAGTTCTGAACTTGTAAAAAGACTCCATCTCAATCAGTGGAAAAAAATACAAGATGTTATATGCTGGTTCAAGTCCATCAGTGATCCAAATATTTGTAAGTTTCTCATTTTTGATATCGTTGATTTTTATCGCTCAATAAGTAAAAAACTACTTAAAAATGCTATTAGTTTTGCTGAGCAGTGTCTGATTATAGATCCTGAGCAAAAGCCGATTATTTACCACGTTAGAAAGTTACTGTTGTTTGATAGCAATTAAATTTGGATTAAGAAGTCAAGCGGATTATTTGATGTTTCGATGGGAGCTTTTGATGGCGCCGAGGTGTGTGTACTTGTGGGGATTTTTCTTTTATTTCAGATTACGCAGTTTTATAATAAGAATGATTTCGAGTTATACCGTGATGACGGTTTGGCAATTTTTAAAAACATCAGTGGTCCCCATATGGAAAAAATTAAAAAACATGTTGTTAAAATATTTAAATCGAACAATCTTCTGATATCAACACAGTGCAACAAAAAATCATAAATTATCTGGACATTGCATTAAACCTCAACAACCATACCTACCAACCTTACTCCGAACCCGGAAACTCTTTAAATTACATTCATGCTGAATCAAACCACCCATCCAGTATTTTAAAGCAACTCTCACATTATATTGACTTAAGATTATCCGCAAATTCGTCAAGCGAGGGAATCTTTCAAAAATCCACTCCTATGTGTTATGAAGCATTAAAAAAATCCGGTTTTAATTACAATCTTTCTTACCAACCTAACTTAATATTATCTCACACCAAGAACCGTAAACGTAACATCATTTGGTTCAACCCCCTTTTACCAAAAACGTTAGCACGAATATAGGAAAAATATTTTTTAACATTAATTGATAAGCGCTTCCCTATAAATCACTAGTTCCACAAAATTTTTAACAGTAATACATTAAAAGTAAGTTATAGCTGTATGCCAAATATGAAATCCATTTTAAACAACCACAATCGCCATGTTATAAACAACAAAAAAGAATCAGCTAAAAATAATTGCAATTGCATAGATAAAAACACCTGCCCTTTATCAAACCAATGCTTAACAAAAAATATAGTGTATCATCCTAATGTATGTTCCAACGATCTTGTTCAAACTCCCATCAATAAATTTTACATTGGCATAAGCAAAACATCTTTTAAAATTAGATATGTTAATCACATAAAATCTTTTAAAATTCCCAAATACAAAAATGACACTGAATTATCAAAGGAGGTTTGGAGATTAAAAGATGAAAACTTGAACCCGGTTGATAGGTGGAAAATAATTAAACAGTGCAACGCTTATAACCCTGTAACAAAACGATGTAACTTATGCATAAACGAAAAGTACGAAATTTTATTTTTTAAACACCCAAATTTGTTAAATAAAAAGAGTGAAATATTATCTCAGTGCCGGCATAAAAACAAATTTCTTCTTGCCCAATTTGACACTGGCGATTAGCAGTTTCATAGCTATGCTTCTTTTTTATTCGTTTTGTTTTGACATCGGAACTCATTCGACAGTTGCTTTTGTATTTTGTATTTTTAACGGTTTTTACTTGATTTGTATAATATATATGGCTGAAGATTGCCGATAAGCATGAGACTTTTATATATATATATATATATATATACATACATACATACATATATATATATATATATATATATATATATATATATATATATATATATATATATATATATATATATATATATATATATATATATATATATATATATATATATATATATATATATATATATATATATATATATATATATATATATATTGTAAAAAATATTTTTATATTATATTGATCACTCTCAAGTAAACAAGAGGATTTGTATCTCAACTAGATACAGTAATAAACAACAATATATATATATATATATATATATATATATATATATATATATATATATATATATATATATATATATATATATATATATATATATATATATATATATATATATATGTATATATATATATAAATATATATATATATATATATATATATATATATATATATATATATATATATATATATATATATATATATATATATATATATATATATATATATATATGTATATATATGTATGTATGTATATATATATATATATATATATATATATATATATATATATATATATATATATATATATATATTATTAGGCATAATTAAAATATTGTTACAATTGATTAAATAATTTTAAAGAAAATACAATTTAAAGTTGTACAAAATTTAATGTCAAGTTATCTAGAAACATAACCTTTAGTTAACTTATTTTTTATATGAAGGAAATTACGAGAGCATGCAAAAATGTAAATTGCAACTTAAAAAAAAAAAATAGTATTAAAATGAATTTAAAACGAAAAGCATCGAAAAATCTTGCTTTTGAATTTTCAACTTTTGTAATAATTTGATTAACAACTTGAAAACTTCGGACGTGAATTTATTTATTTTTTCAATGTTTACCGTTATTTATTTTTATTTACAAATCGTATTAGCAGTGACGACCGAAGACAGTTATGCTCTAGGCAAGGAGTAAACGGCTGCACTCACTAAACTATAAAGTTTTCTAAAAAAACTAGTTTTACATTTTCTTTAAGAAATTTTATAGCTTCTATTTATTTTGAAGTATAAATGTAAAATATGAAAAAGCGCACATTTAAAATATGTAAAAATTTTAAATTAAAAATTTAAAGTTTTTACAACGTTATTACAAGTATTGAACAAATATTTTACAGTTTTGACAAGTTTATATAACAGAAGTGTTTTCAATGTGCGTTGATCTTCAAAAGGTCGCGAAAAAAAAAAT